AGAAGAAGAGGATGAGGATGAGGATGAGGATGAATATGACACGCTTCCTGCTAGTGATCCGCCTCCAGCATATACACCTAATGAAGAAATACTTCGTACAATAAGCGATCGTAAAGTTACTCGTGATGATTCATTTGATGAGAATGATCCATATGGGTCCAGAAGAAGACAAGGTGGTGGAAATTGAAAAAAGAAAAAGAATTCATATTTTTTTAAGCCTTTTTGTTAATAGCCTTATTTTTTAAAAAAATTTTTTTTGAACTATTTATAGATAATTTATTTTAAGCTTATTTAAGTTTATACCCAGAAAATACTATAGGAAAATTAACACGTAAAAATTTTGTAAATGGACGTTATATATTTATAATTTTAGCATTTTATATAAAATCATTAATCGATAATATTATGTATTAATGGATTCTCGTTAAGAGGCACTCCTGTTTTTGTTTATACAGATAGGTTTTTGTCATATGTATTATTCTAACAAATTCAAAATGTTCTAAAAAGTATATATAAATATTTATTTGGGTGATTGTATCATAACATTAAATAAAACTTATGTCTCAAATCACTTGTAACAAATATAGCTTTGAAAAACTTATTGCACAAAATTTTTAAAAATATATGCGTATACCATATTTTTTCTAGTAAACAAGAACATGATAATTTGAAATTTTCATAAAAGTTAGAATAAAAGTAATCCATTACGTTTAATGTCCATATAATGTAAATAAATAAAAATGTTCAAAAAGTTTTATTGTATTTAATAAAGCAGATGCTTCATATATTGTTTTAAAGATTTCATCTAATTGACAGAGCTTAAACGTCAAACTATTTTTATAATTTAGATCATAACACGAAAAGAAATTCTTATCAACTTAGTTTTCGTTATAATATAACGAATAAGGTGAAGAGTAAAGATCGATTGCGCCTATTACGTTAAATAAAAATAAAGTCAAATTTGGTTATTTTTATTTTTAAAATAGTCTATTTAAAAGGTAATAAATTACCCCGAATACATATAGGACCACCTCCATAAGCATGTATAAAATAATTCCAAACATTAGCATTCACTGCTCTATAATCGATTGCTATATAAATATTATAAATATTGCAAAATAAATTAGTGTAAAATAGTTTGTAGATTCAAATTGAGTTCCAATCCATTAAGTGTTTATATTCGTTTACTATTGATATCCGAATAATTGTTGGATTAATCCGATCTGGATTATATGGATAATTCAGATACGGATAAATGATGACTGATTTATCCGGATTGGAACTTTAGATTCAAAGTTATATAAGATTACAAGTACTAACCTCTTTTCATACCAGGTTTTGGTCTTCCATCTTCCTGAAGAAATGTTGTGTTATCAATTGCACCAGGTAATGGTCCTGATATATACATATACAAATAAATACAATTAATAATATTCATTAATACTGTATTTATCCGGATATCCATTTACTATTGGTATCCGAATAATTATTCGAATATCTGTCAGATTATCCGGATATTTGATCTCTTTATCAGATCTTAATAATCCGGATAATTCAGATACGGATAAATGGATAACGGATTTAACTGGATTGGAACTCCATTAATATAACGCTGTATTCATTCAAAAAAAAATTTTTTATAACAATTATCATACCTCCTTTCTTGAAGTTATGCCAACTTTCAAGCCAAGAGTTGCTTATTAAATACCAGCATTCACCATGGCGTATTACGTTAGTATCTATTTGATTAATATCACGAGCTTCTTTACGACGCCTTTGATCCAACATTCTTTCTTCCTGCTATTATAAGAATACTACTTATTTATTACGCGTATTCTTGCACGTATTATTCTTAAAATGACTTTCAACACTACCTCGCATATTTGGCATCCAGCGCGCCCGTAATCATCTGCATGGAAAGGTGGACTTCCATCTGTACCATATTTTTCCATTAATAGGGTATAAACACTGAACGGTATTTTTACAACCATATCATTAAGCTTATGATAAAGCCTCCATTTAACACCTGGAATTCAATTGTAAATATATTACCCATATCTTAACACGGATTGAAAATGTTAGAAATTTTGTTACCTCCATGTGAACACATGAAATCATAATTAGTTATCGGACCGGGCTTAAAATAAATAAATAAATTGTTAATAAATTAATTAAATCATATAGTCAAATGTGTACAATATTATAAAGAACAATAATGAAAATTTGTAATGATTACCGTCGTCATAAATTGCCATCTATTAAACCATAGTCGAGAAATAAATAAATGCGTTTCAGATGAAGACTAATGATAGATAGAAACACATCAAGTCAGGTTAACAAAAGATAAAAACAATTTCTCCTATGAAAATATAATGATACACACATCACTTATTTGCGAAAGGATATCTTGCCTTTCTTGTTCTTTCTCAGGACATGTCTTTTTATAGAATAACACATATGCTTCTAATCGAGATATCTCAGCTGCAGTCTTTTTTGTAACATACTAGAATCACATACATAATTACATTTTAATTCTTATGATTTACAAAAAAAATTATTGATTAATAATATATTATGATCTCTTACCGTATCATCAAATTCATACCAATTGTTATCAATAGGATTCTTAACATAAGCAACATAATGGCCACCTTTAGGAATCAATACAAATTCATTTGAGCCAATTTGTCGAATTTATCATTGATCATGAAAAAATAAATTCATTATCCCACCTCCAATAACACCACGATGATGAATCAATCCATATAAACTATATTTCGAATTATTAGATGATTCTTTTGGTTCTTTACAATAAGGTCTCATATCCAAACCTTCCATTGGAAATTGAACATGCATGGCAATTTTTGATGAAAAATAAGATTCAAAACGAAACCGTTTAATTTGTATACAAAGTGACTATAATAAAAACACATAGTTATTTAACAATTATTTTAACAACATTATTTAATAAAATTATTTTAACAACATTTAATATTTTATAACTAGTAAGTAAATTAAGAACCTCTGGTAATCGCGTAATTCTTAACGTTTTTTGACAATCATTCAAGGATCTACATCCGTCGCATCTGTACCTGTCTTCACCAGTAAGATTTTCTGTGGCACAGAATGCAGCGAGGCAATCTTGTAATTTTACTGTTCGTCCACCAATACTGATATGTATATCCGAACAAAATGATTACCAATGAATATCAATAAATTCAACCTTTAATAAACTATATGGTAATATTAAATAACTCACCCTAAAAAATCACCCATAGAACCTATAACTGTATTTAAAACACCATTTAAATTTTTTTCTTGAGATTTAAGTTTATATTTTTTATCAATCTGAATCGGAAGAACATAAAAGTATTCTTCTTTTATAGACTCCTAAGCATATGCACAATCATTACAATACATATAAATACAAATAAATGTTGAACTAAAGTAAGAAATTTACCTTCATACAATGAAGGCATTTAATTTTGCTTTCAAAAACATCTTGAAATATGTCACTAATTATGCTAGTTGATGAAGAGGTACGTCTTTGAAACCCTTCATAATTTTTTGAAGTAGTAGTCGAAGATGTCGAAGATGTTGAAGAAATTCCACAAGCATAATAATCATCCATCATGGCATTAACACCAGCATCCATCGATGGAGAATAATTTACATTAACATGATTGTTAGTGTTGCCATTTGTTTGTGTATTATTTAGCACACTTTGTGGATATGGCAGTTCTTCATGAAGTTTATCCAAAATAACACGAAGAAATTCCGCAGAATCCTATATTCAATGATATTTATGATATTTATGATATTTAAATGTTAAGAAATTAAGGAGAGAAAGGAGTTTAATGAAGTTAAAAAATTTAAAGGAGTCAGAAAGAACCTAAAGGTTAAGGAAGGAAGTTAAGGTAAATTATGAATACCTCTTGTGAATGACCTCTGAAAGTTTCATTATGCCTTTTGATCTCACTAATCAATCGAATTGGAGCAAAAATCGGACTATAAAAAAATAAATTCACTAATATTACAAACACTTCAAGAAACATAATTTTCATAATTTATCAATTTCCAAGATAATCAACCTGGTACCACTCCACATAGCTTCTACGAATTGTCCAAAATGGTCAGCCAACCGATACTTGGAATTCTTTGCATTAATATTAAGACTTCGTGGAATATATGCATTGCAATAGCTGAAATAATTTATCAATGCTGGCCTAAGAACAAATAAAGAAGAACTAATCAAGTATACTATAAAAGTAATTTATTATAATTGATAAAACAGGCATTAGAATAAAAAAAACTCACGTATTAGATAAACATTGGAGAGCAGCACTGCATGAAAAAATAAATGAAGATTACACAATGTTAACATAAATCAAAAGAATTCAAGAGAATTCATTTCATGGGATAAACTTTGATAACGAACCTTGCATAACAAGTATTTCCCAAATTTTTTAATCCAATCAGACCTTAAAAATTATGATAAAAGAATTTTTTTTTTTAGATATGATATAAAACAAATAACATATAATAAAGAATAATAAGTATAATAACATACCAGGAATATCAATTGCAAATTGATCGGTTGAATGTTGTGATTTATTTCGTTTGACCTGCTACTGACAAAGTATTTCAACTTTATTTTTTAAAAAAAAAATCAAATGAATAAAAACAATAAAGATAATAATAATTTATGAACTAAAAAAATACCAGGCATCTCACAACAGTTTTCAAGTAATCACGCGTTTCCTGAGAGAATTCTTGATCTTTACTAAATGGATTTAATGCAATCGAACAGCTATAACACCATATATCTAAGGTACGTGGATTAACATATACAGCATGAATAGATTCAGGTTTATTTTTCTGTATATTAGATCAAGGTTTTATTAGATTGAAAGCAAGATAATCTAATTTAATACTATAGGTTTCATATTTTTTAAATTACCTTGTATGTAGAATCATAGTGGTCACGCATATGAGACCTGGAACTATTACTACAACAAACAACAGTGCGACATCGACTCTATTTAATTAAAAAGGTCATTCGATTGATTAAATAAATAAAATTAAATAAAATAGTTGGTGAAACATTCAATGGAAAAAAATAAAAAATGGTTTGAATTTCACAACTTACATATAGACAAATCCAAACTCTTGGGATTCTAGTCTCACACCAGTCACAACAAAGTGTTGAATTAGAGACCTGTCTCTGAAAACATAATATAAAACTTCAATAATAGTAGAATAGAATCGTAATAATTTATAAAGAATTTCAATAATATATATATAACCTTGAAAGCGGAAGATTCAATCTTTGCTACCGGCGAACCTTGCTTAGAATATCTTTCGATATGTGGGCAAGTCAATTTTCTTGATACATTCGCAGGTGAAGAGGACCGATCTGAATACTGGCGTTTAGACATTACTTGCAAAAGAAAGAAAAGATAATTAACAAAAGTTGTTGAATTCGAAGAAACTTTGGATATCCGGAGCTTAATGCTATTTTATAGTTACGCAAGGATTATCCGATGATCAGATCATGCACGATATTAATTGTCGAGCAACTTACATTTTATCATGTTATAATTATATTCACCATACATTACACACTATACAGCTACAAAGATATATTATACTATTATATACGTACTATATATATACATAATACTTGGCTAAAAACGTGACATTGATTGATGATTTTGACGTTACGGAAATATACATCCGTAAGCCAAATAGAGACTTCTAGAAGAGATTACACAAAAAGAAATATTTTATATGAGTAATATTTTAAATCCAATACATTAATAAAAAAAATATATATTTACAACCAAATAAAGAAAGAACCGAAAATTGTGTTGCAAACTTGGAATTGAGAATTTTTTGTTGGAAAAATTCCTAATAATATAAATATACTGTGTATATCGGTAAAAAAAATACATTGGATTTATTTACCACTTAAACCTTTGTTTTTAAAAAAAAAGAATAATATATTTTTTTCTAATTACGCTCTAATTGTAAAAAAAAAAAAAAAAAATTTTTTTTTGATAATTATCGATTCATTTGATTATAAAAAGAAAGAAAAAAAGGAACCATAATAAATAAATAATAATAATAATAAGTGACAGAAATGGCTTCAACGCTTCACCTTCCAAGACCGAGATCTGCGGCAAGTTCAAGATCTGCGGCAAGTTCCGTAAAAAGTGTAAAAAGTGTAAAAAGTAGCAAAAGCGTAAGAAGTACAAGTCCATCTTCAGTTGGAGGTAATCGAGATGAAAAAGATGCTTTAAGACCATATGTAGATGCCATATCCCATATGTTTATAAGAATAAGAGAAAAAGGATATAATTTTTCAGCAGTATCCGATTGTATCGAAGAAGAAATAAGAATGAAAAATCATGAACCAGAACAAATATTTTCATGGTTATCAAGTAATCAAAATGCAGCACAATACGTAACATTACTTGGATTTTTTTATTTTCAAGCAATAGGAGTTCCTATAGATCAAAGAAAAGGATTTTCATTATTTCTTTCAGCAGCGAAAATGGATTTTTTCGTAGCGCAAGATTTAGTTGCAGATTGTTATGCATTTGGACTTGGAACCACCAAAAATGAAGATTTAAGTTTTATGTGGTATCAAAAAGCATCACAAAATGGTAGTGTCGATGGACAGTTTGGACTTGGATATTGTTATGAAGCAGGAATTGGAACAGTAAAAAGCATTATCAAAGCATTTCAATTATACAAAAGATCATCAAAAAAAGAAAATAGGTCAGCAATGTTTATGTTGGCACAATGTTATGAACAAGGAGCAGGAACTACTAAGGATTTAGAACAAGCAGTTTATTGGTATAGAAAGGCTAAAGAATCCGGAAACAGTGATGCAGAAGCACCATTACAAGAATTATTAGCAAAAACTACAAATTCTGGGTAATAACTAATTATAAAAAGACTTTTTCGGTACGTAAGAGATGCTGTAATAATACTGCATCATACATCAACATTACTGCATTGCTGCATTAGCTAATACCATTCTTTTTTCAATTTTTTCAATTTTTTTTTCAATTCTTTGTGATAGATAAATCCGGTTTCATAAATTTTTACAGAACTTATTACAAGTATAACTTTTATTTTTGCCATTTTTGTTATTTCTTATCAGAGATTAGGTATTACGTAGTAGTTCTATTGTTATAAATATATACATATTCATGTAAGCCATTTATATGTTGATAATGTTGATAAGAATCATTTTAATGTAAAATTTTGCGAGGAAAAAAACCATCCTTGGTATGAAATGGATTAAGTGTATTAATTAAAATGGGTTTGATAACTTGTTATTGGTGTAAAAGTTCGGGGTTTAATAACGAGTTTTATTTTTGTATTGATAAAATAAAATTGATTTCATTTTGTCTAAACTAAATAAAATAATTTTTCAAAAATTATGATCCTTAATTTTTAAAATTCTATGAAAAAGGGAATTATTACTATTGGTATTTAAACCCTTAACCCCCGTGTGTTAGGTGACATGAATGACGGATATAAAAGAATATCGGAATTTTTTTTAGTATTTGGTGTAAATTTAAGATAAAACTAAAATGTCAAGTCAGCAACTTTTGTATCGATTTGCGTTATCATATATCATATATAAATTATATAAAATTATATATGAAAGGCATCATAAAAAATTACTAAAAAGGGTTTTGTGGTGATTACTGTATTGATATTTAAGGTTAACACCGGAAGTGACACTAGGTTAACACTAACGCTAGGTTTAAAATCTAAAACTTTTATGTATTAATGCAACTTTGGAAAGTGCGGAAAATGTTAAAAATTTTTAGAGCAAATGAAAGAAAAAAAAAAGACAATTTTATGTAAGTATGTGCGTACATACATACAGTACATACAGTATAGAACATACATACGTACTTATCTGTTACGTAAAGTATGTAAAGTATGTAAAGTATGTAAACGTTTTTTCCACATGTGACTTTTGCTCGGCCATTGCATCACACCCTTGCGCGAGTTTGTTACACATGCAACAATAATGGTACACCGCGCCAATAATGTTACCGCGTGGCAAGTACAGGTGCAGGTTCTATTTATAAAATGTACATAATGATACTTTAATATGACCTTATTTTATAATCAAATAATAGTATAATATTTCATTGACAGAGTATGTTTACATGTACTACATAAAAAGTATAGCGAAAAAACACATCATTTAGACCACACTCTTCTTCTTTTCTTATTTTCTTTATCACAGAGTTAAAAAAAAAAATACTTGTAAAAAAAATAACATTTTTTATGGAAAGATTAAAAAATAGGATAACTTACATTTATCTATATTATACATAAATATTAACCGTGCATATAATAAAAAAAATTATTTTTCTAACGCCAACACATTCTTTTCAAATCATTTAATAAAAAATATTAACAAAATCTTAACATAAGTAATGGCAACATCAGCAACACTTGAAGTTCCAAGGTCGTCTAGGAGTTTATCGAGATGTCCGAGTCCCTCTCCAAGATCCAGGTGTCCAAGTCCTTCTCCAAGATCCAGATGTCCAAGTCCTTCTCCAAGATCAAATTATTTAAGAAGTCAAAGTCCATTGCCACAGATTAGTCGAGATGAAAGTGACGCAATTCGAAGAGTAGTTGATGAGTTAATAGAAAATTTTGTTGATATGAAAGAACGAGGAAATCAAGATGAAACTATATCTCGATTTGTTAACGATTTTATAATTGATAATAAACGTCAACCTTATCAAATTTATGATTGGTTATTAAATAATCAAAATACTCCGCAATATATAACATTACTTGGATATTTTTATTTTGATGCGATCGGAACTGAAGAAGATTTAAAAAAATGTTTTAGTTTATTTCTTAGTGCTGCAAAAATGGACTATTCAATAGCTCAAGATTTACTTGCTGATTGTTATAATTATGGATTTGGAACTCCAAGAAATGAAGAGTTAAGTTTTATGTGGTATAAAAAAGCTGTCGAAAGTGGAAGTGTGAATGCTGAAAATGGTCTTGCT